AATTCTGGGAATTGAAGTCCACATGTCTTCAAGTTGCCATGGTTGAGAAACCCTGCCATAGCAACTTAGTATTGGTCAGTGGACAACTACAAACCCATTCCTATCACTCTTCTGGCTAATAGTTCTTCTGGTTTCAAAATATTCCAACCTCACAAAAGCCATTTCAGATTTGCCAAACTATGGATAAAATATGCATGATTCAGAACTTTTGTTTTAAATTCAAAAGAAAACATGCTGTTCTATTCTGACCTCAGAAGAAATCCTGGCCAGTTTGAGCCATGTGTTTCAAGGGTTCTGACCACTCCAAGCACTGGGCCTGAACTGGTGTTTGTGTGGCTTGTGACTGGACGGCTTTTTTTCACATTTTCTCCAGAGAGCTTTGCAGAATGGGTTTGGTTCAATTGGCTGGAGCTTTCCTGTGTGTTTCTTTATACCTCTTGTTTCATGCTATTAAGTTATACTTTTTGATAAAGAATTGCAAGCCTAAACTGTCTTAAAAATTTTTGGGAAGAGTGGGGGAAAAAAAGAGAAAATAATACAATTTGGCTCAACAGTTCTGCATATTCTCTCAGTGCAACACCTGCTTTTGCTCAGTTGTTCTAACTGGTGATTAAGATGTAATTGAACAAATTGAAGAAATGTTTATTAGCATTCTTTACCTTATGTTAATATGTTGGCTCAGCACCAGGAGGGGGTGTTAATTTAATGAATTATGCTCTATCCTTTGAAAATTCAGAGTAGGGAATAGATAACAGATTTTTCTGATAACAGATTCAGTCACTAAATCTAATGAAATATTTTGCATTTTGTTACATCACAATGCTTCATCCATAGCTCTGTTAATGTTACTGGAGCCTTGCCATTACTTGCAGTGAAGGAATTCTCCATATATAAATAGAATAATATATGGAAAATTCAAGGAAGGCTGAAATCTGAAGTAAGTCATCTGGATTTATGTCAGAGAAAATATATTTACAGTGGGAGAATTAATTTAAATACACAATTATTTCTTTTTCAGTAAATAAACTATGGGATGACAGTCAGTTTGGTGTAGTGGTTAAGGCACCAAGCTAGAAACCAGAAGACTGAGTGAGTCCCGCCTTAGATATGAAGCCAGCTGGGTGACTCTGGACTAGTTACTCTTTCTCAGTCCTAGGAAAAAGGCAAGGGAAAATCACTTCCAAAATCTTGCTAAGAAAACTGCATAGATTAGTCCAGACAGTTGCCAGGAGCCAAGACTGACTCAATGGCACCAAAACAGACAAAACCCCAACCATTTGGGATAAAGCCCTGACTTTTCAATGTGTCCCAATATTTTTTTTTCCTAATGCCACTATTGTTAAATCCATTGTAAGTACATTCTGAAGCTGGAAATAGAAAACCATCAACATATCTACCAACTGATTTCAGCCTGGTTTCTCTGATGCGTCTCTTGCAACACATCAACAGCAATGATGCTGCCCTTTTTCGGGTGCTTTCAGATGACCATCCTTTCCATCTGCTAATTCTTCTGATTCCATTTGAGACTGCAGTTCTGATGCTTTATGAATGCTTCAGGAAATTGAGATGCTATGAGCATGGACATTAGGACATGACTGCTCATCATAACGATGGCATGATCCCACACACCAACACACAAAAAAGTTCAGGGAGTTGCCAGTAGGGGCTCCAATGTTCATCCCTGGAAGCGCTGAAGCACCACTGTGCCTTTGAATCCCAATGGGAATGTTTCTGAGTTTATAGAACTCATGGAGAAGCAACAAGCAATCAGCATTTGCCCTTCCTGGCAAATAATTGTGCACTGAGAACTATCAGCCAAACACACATAACACACAAAGGCAAGGAAAGAGAAGTTTTACTTTATGTACTTTATTTTATATTACATCATATATATAATTTAAAAAAAGATTAAATTGCTGGCATCTTTTTTCCTATTTTACTTGTATTTCCTCAGAGCTAGATGGGACATTGGCAAAAACGCAGTCAACATCTTCTGATTTTTCCTGTATTCTGAGGAACTGAACAGGGTTCTTGATAGCTTGAGTCTTGCCGCTTGTGGGCTGGGCCCTGTTCATCCTGGCAGTCAAGGCAGAGGTGAAGGGCTGGATTCAAACGTAGTAAATACCTTCTTGAGAGAAGAAGTGGTACCTGCCACCTTGAAGAGGCCATCTCAACCCTAGAACCCTAACCCATCACTTGGCCCCACCATGTTAGACAATTTCTGCCTAGTGTCAAACCTTCCCTTCTTGGAGAAGATTTTGTAGAAGGCTACCAAGGATCTTGGATACAGCTAATTAACTGGTTCCCTTTCTTTTGGAATTCAGAAAGCATGGGATAGAAATGACATTAGCTGCTCCAGTAGATGACTTCCATTGAGATTTGGAAAGTTGCAGTTCTTCTCTTAGCTGCTTTTGATGCCACCAGCTCAGTATCCTTCTAGACCACCTACATGAGTCAGTTGTTGGGGCACTGCTTTGCAGTGGCTCCTTCAATGGTTGTGGAGGATAAACAATCAGATCTCCTGCAATGTACTCTAAGTGGGGCTATCTTTGAAGACCAGCTGGAAACTGCAACGGATACAAAGTGAGCAGTCTATGTGCTGGAATCACCAAAAGCACATTATCCTTGTGCTTAAAGCTCTGCATTGTTGCCAACAGGCTTCCAAGTGCAATTCAAATGCTGGTTTTGACCTATGAACCCCTTTATAGCTTGGTGCCAAGGTACCTCCAGACTGCATTCTCCAATTAGAATTGACCAGTCCAACATATTCATAGCAGGAAAAGCTCTTCAGGATCCAGCACTTACTGGGGGAGTAAAGCCAAGAGCTGACGTTTTTCTGTAGTGGCTCCAATATGACGGAACAGCCTCCTTTTGTGTATCCGGTTTGTCTCCAACGTAGCAGACTTCCAGAAAGTATTAAAAACTGTATTATTCCAGAAGGACTTTGGTGGCTTAGTGTGGTCTTGCAGGTATTGGCTCATTCTTAATTATGTGGTGTTTCTTTTATGTAATTACGTGTGATAAATTTACTGAAGATGATAATGATTGTTTTAAGATGTTACAGGATTAGGGTTTTTTATGTTCTTACCATGGATAATTTAAGGTTGTGATGCTGACGTTGTTATTTTAGACTCACTGTGGATGTTTTAGTGTTGATACGTTTGTTATACCATGGATGTTTTAATCTTGCTATAAGCCATCACAACTCTGTAAGGAGTTGGTGGCATATCAGCTTAAGATCAATCAATCAATCAATCAGCCCAGGCCTGCTGCAGGCCTCAGTCATCTCTCCCACACAAATGAAACTTTTCATGACACTACTGGGAGAGGTCATCCATCAGTTTGCAGTAGACATTTGCCCAGCAACCATAGGGTAGTTGTATGGCTACTCTGTTATTTTTGGAGAGGAATGTACCTTGCTTGTAAGAGCAGCTCTACAATTTGTGAGTCCTCCTGGATTTGCAGCTCCACTTAAATCAGCAGCTGGAAGCTATGGCCAAAGTGTCTTTGCTCAGCTTTGCTGGTGCACAGATGCAGCCCTTTTTGGAGTGGGAGTTACAAGTTCTCATTACTTGTATCTAGGGCTACCCTTTGAAGATCATCCAGAAACTGTAATTGATGCAAAATGCAGCACCCGACATGCTGCTGGGTACAAACTGGTTCAGCAATATCACGTCTATTTTGCTAGCTCTGCAGTGGCTTTGGGTAGTCTCCAAGTACAACTCAAGGTGCCGATTTGAAACTATAAAGCCCGTCTCCTCCAGTTTGACTCTGGCTGGCCTGGCTGTTCTGCTCAAGAGGGGTTGCTCTGGGTATCCTCAGTTTGGGAGGCAGAAGTAAGGGTCTGAAAGCAATGTTTTTCTATAGCTGCACTGAATCTGTGAAATATGCTTCCCACAAAGATCTGACTGCCCCCCACTTTAATCACCTTTCAGAAACTAGTGGAAACAGCTTTTCTGACGAGCTGTTTCAGACTAACATCTATTCTTTTCTGATCAGCAGTGGGTTATTTTAAATTTTACTTTCTTTTAGAATTATTGTGTTTATGGTGTTTATTGCTCTTGTTATGTGATTTGTGAACTGCCTAGAGATGGGTTATTATGGTGGTATCAAAATAGTGGGAAAAATTAAAAATGAATTCCTCTATTGTCTTCCAAGTTCCTGTTGGCATAACCGCTGTTTTCACAGTCCTGGCAACAGGCTGCCATAGCAGGATCCCAGAAGCTGGAAGACAAAGAGAGCCAATCATCTCCAATGAGGACACCCTTGGAATGCAAGGCAGAGCTAGGCGCCCCTTCTCTATTGAAATAGAATGTCCTTGTTGGTGAATATGATGCTCTTGACACAAGAACAATTCAGGAACTATCATGATGGTAAGAATCCAGTTGTGGCATCATATCATGAGCAGGGGGGCTTGTCTTGCTCTCTTGCCTCCCCATTTGAAATTTGAAAATGTGAAGTGTCAGATACATCATTGCTGTTGTTTAGCTTTCCAAAAGTTCTGTCCTGGGCTTCCAACTCTGTTTTTCATTTAACAAGCTTCCACACGACATTCTCATTTACAAGCTATTAAAATGTGGTTTGGATGGTATTACAGTAAACAGTGCCTATGACTGGCTGTCTAATTGTACTAAAAGAATCAGCACTATATCAGGTTGGATAGTGGTAGTCAGTGGGTCCTGAAGAGATTTGTCTTTGGCTCAATATCATTCAACTTTTTTTTTTTAGATTTTTTTTTATCCCGCCTTTATTATTTTTATAAATAATTCAAGGCAGCGAAGATACCTAATACTCCTCTTTCCTCCTATTTTCCCCACAACAACGACCCTGTGAGGTGAGTTGGGCTGAGAGAGAGTGACTGGCCCAAAGTCACCCAGCTGGCTCTTCTATCTTTTATGTTACTGTGTGAGAAATTTAGTGAAGAGGATAATAATTGTTTTAAGATGTTATGGGATTAGGGTTTTTTAAGTTCTTACCATGGATAATTTAAGGTTGTGATGCTGATGTTATTTTAGACTCACTGTGGACATTTTAGTGTTGATATGTTTATGTTATGCCATGAATGTTTTAATTATGAACATTTAATTTATACAAAATTATTATTGGAGGCAAACCTGATACACAAAGGGAGACTGTTCTATATTGGAGCCATTCTAGAAAAACATCAGCTCTTGGCTTTACTCCCCCAGTCTCATGGAAATGCTGGATCCTGAAGAACTTTTCATACTATGAATATGCTGGACTGATCAATTCTAATTGGAGAATGCTGTCTGGAGGTACCTTGGCACCAAGCTATAAAAGGGCTCATAGGCTCATAATAATTAAATTCATAACATAATTTAACATTTGATTCATACAAAAAACATTTGTATTTATTACCTGGATAATAGAGTTGATGGGCTACTTATTAAATGTGTGGATGACACAAAATTGAGAGGTCTGGCAGAATGAAATTGCAATCTAATTGGGGCAGGTTGAAAGAATAGACTGAGAAGTAGATGTTTTTCCATAAGGAGAAATATATTATCTTTAAGGAGAAAAAAATGTAGGTCATTTTCCAAGATGGCTTAGAAACATGACATTGTCTCTTTCCCAAGTAGAATTAGTTTGCCGGCAAGCTTTAGCCCTGGAAATAAATGCAGGCAGCAGAAGAGTCAGTGGATGTACAAAGACTGATCAAATCTTGCTTTTCTTGCAGCTGGAAATATGTTTCCCCTTCCACGCTCGAACTTCACAAGGGAGCAACATGCACCAATTCAAGCCATTGCGAGAGAGATTCAAAGAGGAAAGGGTAAATCAACTTTGGCTGCCGTAATTTTCTCAATTATTCCTAGATAAAAAGCTTCCCCAGCATTTTGGCTTGCAGTAGAGGTTGGCTTCTTAGCCCACTGCAGGCACTTACAAAGCTGAAGATGTAAATAATACAGAGGAAACTGTGAAGGTTTCAGATCCTAACATAAAATGGATGAAGCAGAACTTTTGAGAAAAGCCTACTGATGAGTATATTCTACTCAATAGAATGTGTTGTGAAATTCAGGCAGTCGTGAATTAATGTCCATCTTCACTAGACCTGAGAACAACCTAATTGCAAATATTCAGAGGTGCTCTTGTAAAAGGCAGCTGGTAAGGATAGCTTTGCACTTACCAGCTACAAACATTTAGCATGACTCTGCCCTTGCTTGTTACACTTGGTAAGCATGGATGGAACTCTCCTTGTTTGATGCATCTGTTAAGAATAGCTCTGCCTTAGCCAATATACATGTAGCTGCGACAAACTTGCCTAACCAGAGGGTGTCCGGCTAAGCCACTTCTGTCCATAATGTGTCTTTTCTCTGTCAACAAGCGGAGGATCAGCCAGATCTACAGGAAAGTGAGGGAACTAAGACTCCCATCAACCCTTGATTGTGCAAAGCCCATCACTAGGACAACCTCATGAATATGTTTCTGTTCATCTGGAAAGAGATGTGCCCATGTGTTTGCTTTTAGGTGGTCACATTGCCAGCTACAAAAACTAAGGATCCTTCTAGGGAACAAACATCCAGTGAACATCAAGGAAAACATGCAGAGGATTAGACTGAAAGTTTCTTGTTGCGACAACTTTCATCTCTGCTTAAAGTAGGCTCAATTCCTATACATGCTTCCCTAGTAAGCACTCTTGACTACAGTCTTACTTCTGATTAGATATGCAAAGAATGGCAAACGGTGAAACATATATACTGTACACCCATATTTCTTGATCTGAATGTATATTTCTTTGTGTCTTCAGCTCCAGAGTTAGACTTGGGGAAGAAGGTTAGCACTCCTCAGGATCTGATGATGGAGGAGCTGTCCCTGCCTATAAACAGGGGATCAAGGCTGTATCAACAAAGGCAGAAGAGAGTGCAGCGTTTTGTGCTGGAGTATCCTACAGGCTTCAGAGTTGTAAGTCATGCCAGTGTGCTAGGCAAAAATGCTTATCAAGATGTCAGTCAGGAACAAAAACAGGAAGTGTGTTTTTATCACTGTATATTTATTTATTGTTTTAACATGCTGTAAGCTGCCCAGAGTCCCCCATTGGGGGGAGATGGGCGGGGATAAGTTTGATAAATAATAAAAATAAATGAAAAAGTGGCAAAGCAGGCATCCCACTTAAAGATGATCAAGCCAACATTTATTTTCACCTCTGATAGTGTAGTTTAATCATGATTGAGTTCCTAAGCACAAGAAACTGGATCTTCCCCATCTCCAGGAGGTTGGGATAGACTGTAGGTGGCAGACCAGTGCAAACCATATTGTCATTGCTTGGCTTGAGGTATAAATCTTGGGGTTAGAGTTAATTACTTGATAGATTAGTGGTTGGAGCAAATACGATGAAATTATTAACTCCTTGACAATCTCTTCTGGCATAAGGAGCTATAATTAAGCTTAAATCACTAGCTGTTGATTATTAATCTATATCCATCCATCCACACACATACTATGCATGTAAAAAATCATTCCACTTCCCATATGGATTCTAAACTAATACCAGCTTGATGTTCTGGAAATGTCCATAGACCTCTGTAGAGCTTGGACATCTGCATTATACATTCTACTAGTTTGCAAATTTCAATGTGTTTAGTATACAAGCTTTTATTCAGATTATTGGCAAACTTCTGTATGCCTTCTGGTATTAGGCCTTCTCTCTGGTCCTTCCTGTCTAAATGTTCTATTCTTTGCTCTCTCTTTCTAGGGCTCAAGCATGTCAGGTGGAGCAGGAGGAGGCTCACACCCAGAGTACAATAGAATGGGAACAACCAAAGGATGGAGGGTCTGTCTGGTTGTTTGATCAGGATCTGGCATAGTGTCGTGTTGGGCTGGAGTTTAGTGGCTTAAAGCTTCCCTCTGTGGCAATGCTCTTTAGTGTGGGTGCCATTTTTGGTTAAAACTAATGACCTTTCCAAGTTAATATTTCAGTAGTGATAGTATTAAGGTAATCATATGTAAACCTATCCATTAGAACACATACCTGAAGCAAAATCTGATCTCACACCAGAGGACTTTTGCACATGTAGCATGACGCCTCCCTCCCTGCCCTGCCCCATTCCAAATCTGTTCTGATGCAACCCGCTGGAGCAAATTTCATCAGCAAGAGGAACTAACTGGCTATAAGCCCATCATCCCTCTCCTGCATTTCCTTTCTTTTAACTGTCTTCATAAAAATAAATGTGAAATACTGAATCCAGCACTCCTGGGGTGAACATTCTGCTGAACTCCACAACTGTCTGACATTAGTTTGTAGCTTTCTTCTAGCAGAGTCAAACCTCCTAGGCTATAGTCTGCATAATTATCATTTCCTTCTCCCATGGAATCCTGGGAACTATGAAGAGATGTGGGGTCTGTGGTGACACGGCCTTCTAAGGCTGCACTTTTCATGGGGGTAGAGGTGGGGATGGTGGCACATGACTTCTCTTGCTACTGCTAGACTTTTGTAAGGAGTTTTGGCAGCTTCCCCCTTTTAAAAACTGATGTATTTTAGGGCTTGTGCAACGGTTGTCACAAAATGGCAGGGCCCTTTGATTTCACCAACTGTGGCCAGAGGGGGCTTGAAGAGCCTCAAAGAAAGGGCTGCAGGTTGTCCACTCCTGTAAGGCTGAACAATTACCAGACTATAATACCCCAGAAGACTCTTTCAAGGAAGCTATTATGGTGGTTACGTGGCCTACTTTATAGATGAATCTCCTGTGTTGCAAATGCTACCACTAGACAGTCCACCTCCTTAAGATGTCCTCACTGACGGTAGTAGTTTATGTTAGCTCAGAAATGTGTTACACTTGGACAGCCAACTCAGCAGGCATTCAAGTCATCTGCTCATGTATGGGGAGATACACTAAATGTTTAAATTACAGCGATCATGTCTGTATTTGCATCTGTCAATACACTTGAGCATATGCACATTTTATGCAAATTGGTGTCTTACTTTCTGATCATACATTTTTTTTCTCTCTGTTTTGGTAATGTGTAAGTGATCAGCCTAGAAACCACGATAGCATAAGGTCGCAGTATAAATATATCTTTAGCCTTTAACAATATTGTTTCAGTAGCAGGAGGTATGTGGAGTTAGTCTTGTGATTTTTTGCAATTCAAGGCAAATCTGGACAGTGGGAAGAGGATAATAAACTGAGGATTAATGGCAGATATTTTGGGGAAAGAATTGTTGTTGTTGTTTAGTCGTTAAGTCGTGTCCGACTCTTCGTGACCCCATGAACC